ACTTCTTACCCTTGATTTGGCATGCAAAAATGTAGCTAAAATTTGAAGTCTTTATTAGCTGAAGAACTACCCTGTATTTTTAAATCGTAGAGAAGGTATCGTTCAACATAATGAGCATAGCCATGACCACTGAGAATTGTGCCCAGTGTGAGGGCACAGCCATTTTCTAATGTGTTTTTGGAACAGGTTGAGCTCTCACTGTCTTGCTGGTTTATATGCTGCCACTAAAGGTTGTCTTCCCTGTAGTAATATAGTATTATAAATATGCAAATACATTTTTCGGAACAGGTAGTCATGAGATTAAGCATAGTCATGTTGATTTGCTTAGCTCTTGGTTCTTTTCCATTTCTTTTTCTTCTTTTTGCAAACAGCATGGGAGGTGATTGTAAAGTTAAACAATCAAACTGAAGTGACAGGAGAAATCTCATTACAAGTGGAATGAATTGATTGCTTTCATACACAGATGCAGATTTTCTCCTTTTCAACCATGCAATGAATGTTTTTCACTGTGCCATTAAAAAAAATAAGATGCATGCAGTGTCTGGAATAGCTTTTTGTTACATGAATTATAGCAGCAAGAGCATGGATTCTCTTTTAAAGAATCAGAAAAATATGTAGCACTTTTACTTCTTTAGCTAGTTACCTGCCAGTTTCATAGAATAGAACAGTCTTAGAGCTTGCACTATTTCTCCATACTTCCTAGTTTTAGATTATTTATCTGAGTGATTTTTTTTACATAATATGCATAATCTGATGTTTATGTTTTTTGAACTTCAGAATATCGTGTCTGAGAAAGCAAAATGGCAATGATTTCATGCAGATGAGAGTGAAATAAAAATTTTTGTAGGAAAACCAAGAACATTTAGGGCCAGAGATAAAATACCACACTGGTGTCATTAGAACTGCTTTTAATAGCTGCATGACTGAAGATTACTGGAGCTTGGGGAGAGTATGTGGGAAGAGTCAAAAACATACTCCTCCCATTCCATGTTTCCCTAAGAACCCTCTAGTGACTGGACAGAAAATACTGCTCTAAGGGGCACTGGGACCTCACCCTTAATAACGTGTGAGAACAGATCAACAGCATTAACCATGGTCCAGCTGTGGTATTTGCCTGCAACATGACATCCTTGCTTTTTGTTACAGTTTTTTCCAGAGGTGAGCTATCCAGAGTAGACGAGACAGTATATGGTGAGGCTTGCCTAGAATGCCTCTATGTATCATTATAATACTAATTAAGTAGTATGGATAGTGCTAGTAAAAGAGAGCAAATGAAGGCCAGAGTGATAACAGAAATGGTGAATGAGGCACAGAATAAGCAAAAATGTGTTGAAAAAGGGAAGAGGACTGGCTTGAAAGAAAACCAAATGGTAGGAATAAATCCTTCACAGAAGAAAAACTCTTCCTTTTACAGAATTTTATCTTTTGTCTTTCCCATTGCATGTGTAGCTTTATGGTGAGAACGTTCAAAGTAAAAGATGATAGAAATTTTCCAGTGAACACAAAATTATATAGAAAAGAGGTATTTGGAGGCTTCAAAATTCTCGAACAAAGAAAGGTTGTGAGAGAAATGTTAAATGTGTGCAAGTGTTGTAGCTGAAAATTTTTAGGGTAAAATGTTTGTGCTTTCTTTTTTTATTTGAACGACCAATTTTATTGAAAAGTTAACCTAGGTGATTATGTTTGAGAGAGCAGAATAATGTAAGAACAATAGAATGTTTTGATTTTGATTTGAGAACATTGTGTTACCCAGAGAAAGATTTTTGGTTACTTTCATTTTGTTAAAAAAATGAAAAATGGATTTTTAACCTGCTTATCTTTCCCTGAAAGCTCA